TTTGTTTGGGTTTTGTTGTTTGATGATATGAGAAATTCATTGATGAAGAAGGTAAGGCAGCCGTTGGGTTTTTGCAGGTGGATGAAGATGAGGAAGGCATAGGTGCTGGGTTCGATTTTGAACCCAGCAAGCAATCGAAGGCATAGGTGCTCTTGGGTTCTTCAACGAACCCTTTGCTTGGGTTCGAGAAGGAACCCAGGTGCTGGGTTTCTTCTCGAACCCTGGTGCCTGGGTTCCTTCTCGAACCCAAGCGCTGGGTTCCTTCGAATCCAAGGGCAAAAAAATTTGGTTAAATACCCTTTTTGGTCCCTCTACTATAGGAAAAAGCCCTTGTTTAATTAAGATGAAGAAGGCAAGGTAAGGAAGAGGAAGGAAAAAGAAAGGGCACCTGTTGGGTTCGATATTGAATTGATTGTATGAATGAAGGAAGATTCGAGAAAGAAGATGCTAGAGGAAGAAGATGATGCAAAATTGTAATTTGGTGGGCCCCACTTTTGTTTTTGTGTTGGGTATGACCATGTCATCATTTAGCCAGTTGGACAACTGACGTGTCTTAAATTTTTGATATGTCTTAAATTTTTGATATGTCTGTGAGTTAACGGGCAATTTTTAACGGAAGGACCAAGTTGGGGTAAAATGAGTAAACAGTAGGGATCAAATCAGGGATTTTTTTAGTTCAAGGACTAAATCGGGGGTCCGTACAATAGTTCGGGGACCAAAAAGGGGTTTTAACCTTTAAGTTTTTTAGATATTAGTTATAAAGTATCTTTTGGTACTAAAATTAGTTGTCATATACATATTTTTGACAACATTTTTTGTCAAAAAATATATTATAATTGCACAAATACCCTCTTGGCTTAATTTTAGTTTAAATAATTAGTGACATGGACATTGCATTAGTGATGAATGTTTTATTTTTTTGTCATAAATGTATATTATAATGACAAAAATACCTTTTTTGGTTCAATATCGGTTTAAATAATTGATAATTAAATATTTCATCATAGATACCTAATTGCATTTGTGACATTTTTTTTATCACTCAATTATAACCTATGTGATGAATAAAATTGTTAGAAATAACCCATTAACAATATTAATTTTTTTATCACTATAAAATTTTTTTCTATGACAGATATCAAATTCATCATTAAGAGTATTAGTGATAAGAATTTATTAATGGTTTAAATTTCATCATTAATTCTAGTTTATGACAAAAAATAAAAATTTAGTGACCAATAATTTAATAACTAAATATGGGTTTTTTTTTTTAAGTCAGATCTCACTTTCTATATAAAATTATTGAGAAGCTACTATAATTTCTTATATTTTAAAAAAAATTAAAAATATCAAATATATATACTTAAAAGTATTATACTATTATAAAAAAAACAAAGAAAAAAAAAAAGACAAAATCACAATCCCAAATGCACCCAAAGTAGCTACTTTTGAGCGCAGTGGTTATGAGTTATGACCCAACACTATGTTAGGCCACATAATTTAATTATTATTTTGTTTGTTATATTTTTTTAAATAATTAATAATAATGTTTGAAAATATTTATTTATAAATTAATTATAATTTATTAAATAATAAATATAATTATTTATTAATTATTAATTGTTCTCTAATAATTAAATTAAAATAA